CAGTCCCCATTAATTACTGATGAACTAAATCATTAAGAAATGGGGTCCTGAACAAACTGAGGGTTCAGGAGGATTATCTGAACACACTGTGGACACAACCTCCAATAGAGACTCAGACTGTCAGGGAAGAAGAAGGACTGTAATCTGGAACAAACTACCAAACCTGCAGGTCCTTTAAAATCCAGGCCGAAGACTTTTCTTTTTGTCGCTGCTTTTAATTGAACTATTCACATCTCACACTGCACTGTATGCATGTACCTGTGTTATTCATTTCTTATTATCTTTGCTTTTAAATGAGTGTTTAAATGCCATTTTATAATATGTTTCTGCTGCACTATTTCTTAATGCTCTTAATGTCTTTCATTTTTGTAAAGCCCTTTGAATTGCCTTGTGTTGAAAGTTGCCTATAATAATATTTCTTCTTTAAATATTTAATTCAACTTATTTTCTGTTCTTATTTCCACTCGCTGTCTCATATGATGGCAAAATAGGAGCAAACTTCTAAAAAATAAACCAAACAAAGCATCAGAAACTTTAGGGAACTGCTCAGCACGGTATAATGAGCTTTAGATCCTTTTGGGCGTCTTGAGGAAGGTTGTTGTTGTTTTTAAATGTAGTTTAAAGACGTTTATTATTAGGGTTTGTGCTGACATGCTGAGTTTAATCACATGAACACACAACCAGCTAATGGTGTTACTAAGAGAGTGGAGGAAAGCCTCATAAAGCTGAGAGAGAATGGGTCTGCTGCCCTTAAACCTGGCGTTACTCAGACTGCCCGTCACGGCCCACAATCCCCACCAACGCCTTTATGCCCAAAACTCTAATATCCATAAATCATTTGTCAGGAAACGAGGGAACAGGAAGTAGTTAGTGAAGGTCACACGGCGAGCCTCCGAGCAGGACTCCTGATTCTCAAAATGTGGGTGAAATATGTTTTTCAGGCGAGGAAAAGGGCACGAACCGACACTACAGCAGAGCCTTGGCAGCACGATTAGCCAGGCTTTCGTTTGGGGAGTAGGAGGATTCTGATTTGAGAATCTGACTCCTCATTAGTCGCTGCTGTTGTTGTGGATTCATGTTTTATTCACAGCTTCCCTGGAACAGAACAACAGAGAAGCGTCTCGCTGTCAGAAACCTTTGTTAGGAGCGACAGGCGAGTCTCTGACGGCGCTGCGAGTTCATCTAAAGCCCAAAGACAGGAATGTTTTAATAAAGAGAGTTGTGTTTCCTCTCATGTTGTGTCCCACTCCTCTGACGCTCACTGACTAACACTTTGTCAGAAGAACCAACTAAAATGTGTCGGACTATTGACACTGATATCTGCTAATGATGACTCTCGTTGGAGATCACTGAATCTTTTTTATGATGTCATTCATCACATTATAATTACAACTCGTTTGCAGTGAGCCAGCCGGAGCAAGCAGCGCTGGAAAACAACCTCAATCAGACTTTGATCAACTTTAGCCGATATTGATCAAATGCAAAACACAGATATTAGAATCAGGATGTAATAACTTATTCCTGTTTAGTAACTTGATATGTTTGAGGAACTGCCTTTTATATTTTATATTTAAAAATCATGATAAAAAAGATTGCAACCAACGTCCCAAACCTCTTCCATCAGGAGAAGCAGCTTCAGAAAGATGCAGATATAAAAACCCAAATGTTCCACATGAAGAAACTTCTTCAGCAACTTGACAACACATGCAGCATTTAGAGAACATTCAGCAGCTTGAGGAGACATGCGCAGCGTTTACTAAAAGCTGCAGAAACCAAACGCTGCAAATCTGCTGTAAGCTAGCTAGCTAACGTAGCTAACCTAGTCATTTCAGATATACTGACAAACACTTCCAGTTATGAGGCAACAGTGTGGGTCGACTGAGTGTTAGAGAAGGTCAACGGGCTGATTGGATTCATGTCGTTAAGAGGCGTGGAGGAGTCTCATGATGAGCCGTGTGTCAGCAGAGGGATGTCTCTAAAGGACTTCTCATACGGAGGCCGACAGGTAACAACACGCTGCAGCTTCAGAAAGGATGCAGATATAAAAACCCAAATGTTCCACATGAAGAAACATCTTCAGCAACTTGACAACACATGCAGCATTTAGAGAACATTCAGCAGCTTGAGGAGACATGCCAACACAGTCTCACGGCATTTCGTGTTATAGTCACGAAATTAATCTATTGATTCGTGTTCACCAACACGATTTCGCCATTTTTTTCGTGTCACACAGAACGATTTTAAAAGCAATGTAAATAATAACAAATTAGAAGGAAAAAGAAATTTAAAAAAATACAGATTTCAGTATTCTGACACAGAACGATTTTAGAAGCAATGTATTTATATTGGTAGTATGTTTCGTGCCTGCACCAAATAATAACAAATTAGAAGGAAAAAAAGATGACATAAAATACAGATGTCAGTATTCTGAGGCTCTGAGACATTTCTTTTCCTCACTGACGGCAAAAAAACTCAGACATTATACAATTTAAAATAAAAGGGATAGGGTTAGGCTTAGGGTAAGATATTGAGTAAGAACATGTTTTTATGAACCACACAGCTTCTGGTCTTCCAAGACCCGACCGGACAAAAAGACGTGTTGCAGGCACGAAACATACTACCAATAGAAATACATTGCTTTTTAAATCGTTCTGTGTGACACGAAAAAAAAGGTGAAAATTGTGTTGGTGAACACGAATCAATAGATTACATTAATTTCGTGACTAATAACACGAAATGCCGTGAGACTGGGTTGGACATGCGCAGCGTTTACTAAAAGCTGCAGAAACCAAACGCTGCAAATACAAAACGAGGGCAGCATGAACAAAGTTACAACAAATGAACACAAAACAAAGGCAGAGGAATACATCTGTAAAACACACATGAAATGGAACATTAACCAGTCAATATGCAAATAAAAGAAACTGTTATAAAACAATAAAAACTGCCACAATTTTAAAATGACTTCAATTATGAGTTATAAGAGCAATCACATCGACCAATGGATTCTGTTCTCTGTCCTTTAAGATGAACTTGAACAAAGTGATCAAATCTGACAATTTAAGAACTCAAAATCTTCGTATGAACTGAACATGGCTATATATTTAAATATCCGCCACCATGAAACTAAACCCAACAGTCCACAACCACTAATCAAACTATTATGGATTTTTCTTTTTCAAGCATTCGGATGGAATTCGAATGAAAGCTAGATTTTGACTTTTTCTCCGAAATTTGACTTTTTCTTAGGACTTTGACATTTTCGACTTTTTCTCAAGATTTCGATTTTTTGTCAGAATTTGACTTTTTCCTCACGATTTTGACATTTTCAACGTTTTCTCAGAATTGTTGACATTTTCTCACTATTTTGACTTTTTTGACATTTTCTCATCTCATTTATTTAGAAGTCTGGTGGTCTGTTTAACGTTCAATTCATACTATTTTAATAATGAATGCCCATGCCAAACAGAGATGCTTTTGCCTCTCCGGACAGATGAGGAGAGAGGAAGCGTTCATTTTCTCCTTTAGAGGAACTTTGTTTAAATCCCTGCAGACTGAGTGAGATGGAGACGGGCTGATGGCAGGAAGATGAAGGTGATGATATATAATCATCATCAAACAGTCCTGGGCCATTTAGTGACAGCATGAATGGCTGATGATGGAGAGCAACACTCAGGAGATAAAGAAGCTGGAGCTCAGGAGAGGAAGGAGACATATTGTGTTTATAATTATCCGTGTGTTTGGGTCAAATTACTGCCTTCATCATTAATATTGTGTTTTACATCCAACTGCCTCAAGGCCTCGTGATATCCTCCACAGTAGAGTTATTCAAATATAACATTTCTGATCTCTTTCAATGACTTCTGAGGTTTAGTTTACATTACAAAATTACAAAGATTACAAAAAGACCCCAGCAACAAACTGTACCGCAGCATCAGGACTAAAACCACCAGACTCAGAGACGGTTTCCTCCCACAATAAGACTCACCTGAACTCTGTGAAGAACATCCATAAACATTCATCTGTTTGCAACTTGCGCATTACTTATCTAATATATCATACTCCATTTACTTGTATAGACTCCTCTTGCACTTTTTCTATTTTATTTGTATTTACTTTAACATTCTCTTGCACTATTTTATCTGTTTTATGTCCTATATATATTCATGTTGCTCTGTTGGAGGAGGACTTTCATTGACACATCTACACTGTAGCTGCTGAGGACATGGTGATAAAGACATCTTGAATCTAGTGAACTCTGTACCTCCTGTGGTGTTCCATAGGAGATGAATGGGTCACCTGCAGGTATTCCTTTAACCAGCAGTCTGATGGAGGCTCTTTTGGACAGGATGTAGTATTGCAGTACTGGAGAACACTCAGAATTAGACTTTTTCTCATAATTTTGACCTCTTGGACTTTTTCTTAGAATTTTAACTTTTCTCAGAATTTTAACTTTTTTCTTAGAATTTTGACCATAATTTTGACTTTTCCAGCTTTTTCTCAGAATTTTGACTTTTTCTTCAAATTTTGACTTTTTCTCAGAACTTGGATTTTTACGAATTTTTCTCATAAATTAGACTTTTTCTCATAAATTAGATTTTTTTTCCTCAAAATTGTGACTTTTCCAACTTTTTCTCTGAATTTTTCTAAGGATTTTGATGTTTTCTTAGAAATTTGACTTTTTCTCAGAGTTTTGACTTTTTTTCAGAATTTGACTCTTTCTGAAGCTGATGGAGGCTCTTTTGGGCAGGATGGTGTGAATGTGATATATTGATCGTACCACTGATGGAGGCTCTTTTGGGCAGGATGGAGTGAATGTGATATATTGAACGTACCACTGATGGAGGCTCTTTTGGGCAGGATGGTGTGAATGTGATATATTGAACGTTCCACTGATGGAGGCTCTTTTGGGCAGGATGGAGTGAATGTGATATATTGAACGTACCACTGATGGAGGCTCTTTTGGGCAGGATGGAGTGAATGTGATATATTGAACGTACCACTGATGGTGGCTCTTTTGGGCAGGATGGTGACGGCGCCCACTGCCGCCTCTTCCAGCTGCAGAATTGGGCTGTTTTTGGCGCCCCAGCTGTCAGAGCCGATCCACAGGAAGTGACCCACCTGGTCCGCTCGCTTACTGGCATTCAGGATGCCTCTGGATAGAAGAAATACAGGCTGTAAAACTTGCAGATAACATCCTACTACTAATAATAATAAACCATCTGACAGTTAAAATCTGTTCCTTATTCGAAGGGACCGGGCCTTTTTTTTCCAGATTCTTTTTCTTTTTCAGAAATTTCACTTTTTTCAGAATTGTTGACGTTTTAATCAGAATTTGTACTTTTTTATCAGAATTTCCCTTTTTGTTGTATGTCTTCAGAATGTTGTATGGTTGTCATTTTAAGCTGTAACTGGGACGTACCTGATGTCCTCGTCGGAGGCGAACAGGATGACGGCGCGGGCATATCGAGTGTCCAGCAGCATGCGGATTATTTTATCAAAGTCTGAGGGTTTGTGGTCGTGAGGAATCTTCAGAGACTGAGCGATGCAGATTCCTCCTGAGACGACACAAAGAGAAGCCTTCATTAATACAAATCCATTAAGAGACATGACTTCACTTCACGCAGCTAATGTTGGACACTTGTTATATATATATTATGTATTTATTTCAACAAGGACCACTCATACAAATACATTAATCTCAGAAAAGAGAAGAGATGAATTATGCCAGATTTGAGCTAATAGCTCATTTCCAACCTAACCAATGTTAGCAACCTCTATTTTTTAAATCCACCAGTTGGGAATTTACTGACATATTTTATGTGGTAGAACAAACCGTTAAAATCTCTTCAGCTTGTGTTAAGCTCAGACATTATTTCAGGATAACGACCAAAAACACATCCAGACACCATTCAGAATCAGAATCCCTTTATTAGTCCCACAGAGGCGACGTGTACATTTGTTACAGTAGAAAAAGAGCCAAAGACAGCTCAATGTTAACTAAGAAGTATGCATACAAAAATATTAAAGATAAACAAATATATATTATAATAAAAAAAGTTTACAAAAAACACATCCTGTAACAGTTCTGAGGATTTAGCAGCCAGGTATATATTGAACAGTTATTAACGGCATATATATATATCTTATATATTGAGCTCCAGACCAGATGACAGGAAGTGAAGTCATGCTGAGTCAGGGTCTAGCCTCAGGCTTCAATGACTTCCAGAAACCTCCTTTAAAAGTTGTTTCCAGAAGGTTGAGGTACAGCTGATTGAAAGAAGACTTTCACGGATCAGAAGAAAGAGCCGCTGACATTTCATATAACCTCCAACGTTTCTGCTCATCTTAAAAAAGTGAGGGAAATGCTGCAGGGCTCCAGAATAAAGGTCCCTCAGCAGCTCAGAGGACGATGTAAAAGCATTCAATAGACTTCTCTTATCTCTGTCTCACACACAGTTTAACCTGTGAATAAAAAGTAAAATGTTTGTAAAATATTTAACTTTTTAAACGCTCTGAGATCCAGAGGCGAAAGTAAGAAGATACACTCAAGTACTGAATTAAGTAAAATAAGGTATTTGTACTTTACTTCAGAATTTCAATGTTTCTACTTTGTACTTCAACAGTGACAGTTTTTTTGGACTTTTTCTCCAAAAGTTTATTTTTCTTCAGAATTATACTTTTTTCCCCGAGCTGTTTTTTTTCTCAGAATGTTTACTTTTTCAGAATATTTTACTTTTGAGATTTTTTAGTTTTGACTTTTTATCAGAATTTGGATTTCTTTCATAATGTTCACATTTTGTTCATAATGTTCAGTGTGGTGCGGGTAGATCGCGCACCGTTAACAAAAAAAGAAGACGTTTTTAGATGTAAGCCTATCATCCACCACCCCGTTAGCAGGTGCCACTTGATTGATGTGTCTTTGAGACATTCCCTGTCGCTCCCGAAAATAATAGACTGATTTCAAGGAATGCTGCATATTTTTGAATTCACTGCACTTATGGTAGATACCAATTACAACAAAATGAACATATTTTACCGTGATTTAATTGTAATACACGTTTCAAAATGATGCCGGAATAATTATATACTGATACCGGTTAGTAAGAAACATGAATTAATGCTTTGACAAGTGTGCAGACAAGCTTGCAGGTGAAAAACCTTTTAAAATGCGTGTTTTCTGAATGGAGATCGGATCGATCAGGCTAAACTAATGTTGTAGCTGCTACAGACACAGACACAGACACAGGTTATACAGGTTCTGAACAGATATGAGGAGCTGTAAGCTCTGTGTGCTAACAGCTAACGGCTGATGTTTTGGTTTTCTGATTCAACCTCAGTGACGGCAGGCTGAGATCCTCACCGCCGATTGGCTACTGCGCGAACGCGTCATTCGCATCGCGTACGGTGTGAACACACCAATGGTCTATGCACGGATAAAGAATGTTGTTAGAATTTTTAATTTGTAAGAATGTGTTAAAATAACAATGTTAATGTTAAATGTTGCACTTGCATGAAGCTTCAGTGGATAAGCCTCACAGTAAAAATGGCACTTTATGTTTTCTGCTCACTGCAAGATGTTGTTTTTATCTTTGTTGTTGTTGTTGCTGTCAACAAAATAATTCTCTCATTCACTCAAACAAATGGAAAATAAGCTACATACATTTATATTTAGGAATGAATGAAACTTAAAATGATAGGTATGATGTAAATATATATATGTATCCTTTTTGACATGTTAGTTATGTTATGTTAGTTCTTGGTTTAATCAAATTGGAAGTTGCCCCAAATGATTTGATGTAATTCAGATGCAACTAGAGAATGCAATTCCTGAAGAAATTGCTAGTGGGAATGCTTTATGCTGAAAATCTGACACTAAACTGCTATGCTGAAATATAATGTGTAAGACGAAAGTGAAGAATTTAGATTGAAATGATACATGAACACTGGGGGCTTGAATGTGTGATGAGAGAAGAGAGTAAAAAGGCTTGGAAAAGCAGCAGAATATTTGAACTGCAAACTTTTGAACTAACTTGATGGCGAATGATCTGTCGCCATGCCAACGGCATTTGATGACATCCCATAATACGCTTAGATGTGTGGATGGCTGCATCGTTACCAAACCTGTGAAGTTTTGGGCTGTTTGGAGCATTTTCACTGAAGTTATGAGAAAACCGTGTTTCATGGCGAGCCTTGTGTTACCATGGCAACGGCATTTGAAGAAACCCCATAATTGACGTAGAGCTGTTGAGGGCTGGACCGGTGATATACAAGCGAAGTTTGGGGGACGATCGGACCGTGTCCATTGGACTTACAGCGACATTGTGCTTCATGGCGAGTGGTCTGTCGCCATTGGCAACGGCATTTGATGACACCCCATAATACGGTTAGATGCGTTGATGGCTGCATCGTTACCAAACCTGTGAAGTTTTGGGCCGTTTGGAACATTGTGTGAGAGAGAGAGAGAGAGAGAGAGAGAGAGAGAGAGAGAGAGAGAGAGAGAGAGAGAGAGAGAGAGAGAGAGAAGAGAGAAAGATATTGAGGAAGAGGAAGATATTGAGGAAGATATTGAGGAAGAGGAAGATATTGAGGAAGTTATTGAGGAAGATATTGAGGAAGAGGAAGATAGAGGAAGATATTGAGGAAGAGGAAGATAGAGAGAGAGAGAGAGAGAGAGAGAGAGAGAATGAAATGAACAGTTAGAACTGACTCTTGATCTCCCTCTCTCTTCTCTTGAACGGCATATGATGACACCCCATAATTGACGTAGAGCTGTTGAGGGCACGACCATTAACCTTTATCTGAAGTCTGCTGCTCTGAGCATGTCAGTTGGAGTGATGACATCATCGTGTTCCATTACACAGGTGTTTATAGTTGAGCTAACGAGCTCTGTAGAGATCAGAGGTTTCCATTGTTCTGAATGAGAGATAAACCTCTTACATGTGAACGTTTTGTCAAAGAACCGTAACAGATATCTGTGAAATTTCAAAACGGGAAGCATGTCAAGGAAGTTGAATATCTGAAGTGTAATTTTTGTGTACTTTCAGGTTAATAATGTGGCCTTTTTGGCAGTTTAACTAAAGGTGTGCGGCTGCTGCTGTGAGGAAATATCTGCCTGAAATTACAATGGGCTTTAATGGAGACATGTTGAACATTTTTGTCACTTCATGCCCTCAAGAGGCATTTTGTTTAATTATTTTGCTTAATTATTTGTCATTTTTCAAGCTACGAGATGTCTCAGGAATGTAGGGTTTGGGAATTATGGCAGTTTAAAAAAAAAATATGAAGGCACATTTCAAGATTTCCTACCCTCTAGCTGTGACATCACGCACTCTAGTTAATGTTAAAATCTGAAGAAAGCCTCTTTACCAAGGTCTGAACAATGTTTAATATCTCTAAAACGCCCATACTGAAGAAACCTGGTGCAGACCCCAACAACTTTAATAACTTTCGTCCCATATCTAACCTACCATTTCTCTCAAAAATCCTGGAAAAAACTGTTGCATCCCAGATCCATTCCCACTTGTCTGACAATAACCTGTACGAACAATTTCAATCTGGTTTCCGCCCCCATCACAGCACAGAAACTGCACTGGTGAAAATCACTAACGACCTCCTCATGGCCGCTGACTCCGGACTATTAACTATCCTCATCCTCCTTGATCTTACTGCAGCTTTTGACACCATTTCCCACAGCATCCTCATTGACAGACTGACCTCCATCGGGATCACTGACACACCCCTCCTCTGGTTTAAATCATATCTCTCTGGCCGCACTCAGTTCATCCAACTCAAAACCTTCAAATCCCAGCCACTTCCAGTCACGACCGGTGTTCCCCAGGGCTCTGTCCTGGGGCCTCTTCTTTTTATCATCTATTTACTTCCTCTTGGCAATATCTTCCGTAAACACAACATCCACTTTCATTGCTACGCGGATGACACCCAGCTCTACTTGTCCTCCAAACCAACCACCATCCTCCCTCCATCCTCCCTGTCTGACTGCTTACAGGACATCAAATCCTGGTTTTCCTCTAACTTTCTCAAACTTAACGACAATAAAACAGAGGTTCTCCTCATTGGCACAAAATCCACCCTAACCAAACCTGACAGTTTCTCCATTACAATAGACAACTCTTCAGTCTCCCCCTCCCCTCGGGTTAAGAGTCTGGGTGTCATCCTCGACGGCACACTTTCATTCAAATCTCACATCAGTAATATCACTCGGTCTGCCTATTTCCATCTACGCAACATCAACCGCCTCCGCCCGTCCCTTAACCCTAAGACCACCGCCATTCTTGTTCACACCCTGGTCACTTCCCGCATCGACTACTGCAACTCCCTTCTCTTTGGTCTCCCTCTCAAATCCATCCACAGACTTCAACTGGTCCAGAACCCTGCCGCCCGCATCATCACCAGAACCCCCTCCATTAACCACATCACTCCTGTTCTTCAGCAACTTCACTGGCTCCCCGTCAAATCCTGTATCGTTTTTAAGATTCTGCTCCTCACCTTTAAGGCCATCCATAACCTCACTCCTCTGTACCTCTCCGACCTCCTG